GCCGCGCGCGGAGGGCGGCCCTGGTGGCTGTTCGGGATCCACCCCTGCACGGTGGGCCCACCGCGCGCGATCGTGTCCCCCGGCTTCTCACCCCTTTAGTCCCGCTTCGTGTTCTTGTCCTGTTTCTCAGCGCTCATGGTCTCTTGCGCTAAGTGATCAGAACATCCGGTTCCGCAGTTCTTCCTCGGTCCCCCCCACCCCCAGCCTCAGTTTCCTTATCTGTGAAGAGGGTGGGAGGATCCTGGTCACTGCCTCCGGGGTATCTAACGCGGATTCCCTCTGGAGGGCGGCGAAGTACTTGGCGCGGGGCCAGGGGGTGGTGGGGGTGAGAAGGTGGTTTCCTTTCCGTTCTGTGTACTTGTGGTGGAGGGAGGCCGCGATCTGAATCTGAAGTTGGGGGCTTGGGTCTTCAGTGCAATGGGAAACTGGAAATTAAAATCTCCACCACAACCCCCACCCAACCCCGTGTTTGCGCACTTCACACACCTGTGATGGATCTGCGCAAAGTCCAAGGTGGGCAGCGAGACTTAGCCACACCGGAGTTTCTGGGAAGTCCAGTCCCTCGGGATTGGTTAGGGGAAACCGTTTTGCCAGGCACTGGCTGTTTCATATTTGTCCTGGTCGCCCCAAGGCTTTATCCATTTTAGCTGGGAGTGTGCACTAGGATCTGATAGTCCACCTCTTTAGCGGTGGTGGAATGAACAGCCTTGCTGCTTCCCCGGGGATAGGGCGACCCGCCTCTGTCATCCGCCTAACTTACCTGCTTTTGGTCTACCATCTCCACATAAAAGATAGAGGCTGCCCCTCTCTTGCTGTGGGCAACAGGGCACCCAAAGAGAACTTGGTCCAGGGGCTCCCATTGTAGCCACACTGGGAGAGAGTCTCAGCCTCCTTTGCTGTGTGGGTGGCTTCAGGCATATTCAGGGTAGGTAGTGGGTTGGAGGCGCCATCTTTGGTGTCTGCTGAGCCAGAGAGGGTGGGCATGGATGGTGCCTGCTCTCACTGTCCCTCAGCTGCTGTCCTTAGTTCCTGTGACCACGGTCCGGGGACTGCCCCATGTTGGTGTGCAGATGGATAGAACTTGGGGCGGGCGGCTCCCCAGTCTGTTGCTACACAGCTACACATTTATCTCTGTAGAACATTTCAAGGGGAAAGAGATAGCAAGGTAGATTTTGTTTGTGTTTTTTTTGTGTGTGTGTGTGTGTGAGTGTGACTCTTGAGAAAGAGCTTTCCTTCCCACCGACTGCAGTCCAGGGTGTCCTGGCTCACAAATGATTTTGGCTGTACGGTAATGGGAGCTGACTGAGCTAGGCTGCATGGCTGACACCTGTATTCTTTCTAGCTCCTAGAACTTGGCTTCTTGGGGTCTGTGAAAGAGGAATCCAGCACATTCCCCCACCCCTGGGACATCAAAAGACAGTTCTGTTGTCTGTCTGTCAATGGCTGCAAGGTGCCCCTAAGCGAGGAGGGAGCTTGACCTGATATGCCAGAGAAACTGAGGCCCAAGAAGTGAAGTCCACCGGATGACTACAGGCAGTTCTTTACGGTGGGGGCGGATGCGATGCCCTTCCTGGGTCTCATGTCCCCAAACTCCCCTTATAGTAACCATTTGTGCGACTAGGAGAGCCGTGTTGAATCCAGACCCCTTAATGTTATATTTTTGGGGTGTCTGGGAATCACGTAGACTTAAGTATTGCTATATAGTTAATTTAAACGATTGTTTTGATAGACTCCTGTCTATCTTAATGTAGCCCTGGCTGTCCTGGAACTCGATCTGTAGACCAGGCTGGCCTCAGACTCACAGAGATCCGCCTGATCCTGCCTCCCGAAGGCTAGGATTAATGGCGTGGGCCACCATACTTGGAACCATACAGTTAATTTAAAAGCCTCATTTTTTTTTTTTTTGAGACAAGTTCTCACTCTGTAGCCCAGACTGGCTTTGAAACTTGAGGCAATCCTCCTGCTTCAGCTTTCTCCTGATTACAAGCAAGAGCCACCTCTGACTTAACGAGCCTCTTCCATAGAAGGGGAAGCTGGCACAGGATGTGTCCCAGGGCCAGTGGGACTCACCTCTGCTGCAGAGCAGGGGTAGATAGATCTGTTCCCCTGCAGAGCCATGTCCCAAGACTGTGCACTGGGAGGGGAGCCGTGCCTCCACACAGCCACTCATGCCTGCCTAGAGACTGGATCCAGACAGAGACAGAACAGGGCAAAGGGCCCCATTATGTCCATGCTGTTGTACTTGGGGGTATAGAGACCTAGCGGTTTACAGAACACCCCCATCCAAGGGACTGCAGGCAGTAGGCAGAGCTTGGCACTCCTGGACGTCACAGTTATCCCAGCCCCTGCTTGGGGTGGAGAAGGACTTTAGAGGCTGTGGGAGATGTTGACGTGGTTGCCATGGATACTGCAAGAGAGCCAGCCTTGGGGCGGGGGCGGGAGGAGAGGCTGGCTGCTGATTCTGCTCGTCAAGCCCCCTCCATCTCTGGCATCCTCTCTCCCTAGACCTGGGCGGAGGAGCGGGGGGGGGGGGGTCCCTTGATCCGGTCCCTGAAGCTTGAGAGACCTGACTTCATCCACGCGGGGTCTCACCCCTCTGGGTCCAGGTTGTTCTCAGTAAAGTGTCCTAGGTGCTGCAGGACGGCCTCTGCCTACTTCCATGCCATGGGCTCTCCCTAATTGGGACAGCCACACGTGTCCCCAGATACTGCCCAGTATCTGCTGGAGGGCCTCTGGTCACCTCTAGTATATTATTTGGAAATCCTGTTTCCTTAGGTCTGAGAAACATTAGGGTAACGGGGGTGGTAGCTGCAAAGCCTTCTGCATCCCAGAGGCCTGCATCACTGAAGGAAGTACACCCTGACCTGCCACTGACTGACCTCCACATGCACCGTGGAGCACACGCTCCTGTGGACACACACTAATGTAAAACATTACATATGACTGAAAAAATGTTAGTATTTGTGGTTATTGGGATTGTGCAGGGTCACTGTGGGCGTCTTCTGTCCTGTGCCCACTAAACGTGATGTCTGAAGGTGGGGAAGGACAGATTTGCTTACCCGTAACCCTGTAGCTGGGCGGGGCCGGGAACAGTGTGGCTGGCGTGGGAACAGCAGGCTAGCCTAGGATGGGATTATGAGGGCTACTGAAGGTTGGGGTGTCTCGCTGACTTGCCTTTCTCTTTATAGAGGAGGGCTTAGGATGGAAGAGTCAGGTGGTGTCTGAGGTGGTGGGGTGCCAAAAGGCTAGGGCCTCCCCTAGCTTTGCAGTCAACAGCCCTAGAAGTGGCTCTAATTTGTCTGAAGCTGTTTCCAGGAGGAGAGACAGATGGGGAAACTAAGGCCTGAAATGGGAAGGAGCCTGGTCACCTGCAGGCAGAGGAGCAAGATTCCCAGTGTGATTTGAAGCCCTGTAGAAAGGGGTTCAGGTGGCCTTTGGGTATTGCTAGCCTACTCAGCTCCTCCTTGGAGGACACAGCAGCTGGGGCTGGCTACATTGCTGGGGGTGATAACCACACCCCCACCCGGGCTTCTGATAAAAGCAGCCCAGATGGGGTGGGAGTTGGCAAATGATACCAGCCAGAGGCCTGACTGCCCTTTGGAGGGGTGGGTTGGTTGTGTCCTGAGAAGTAGCGTAGTCTCGTGGGGTGATGTCCTTACTTCCCAGTCTCAAGAGCTCCCGAGAGGGGGGAAGTAGTCAGACATCCTGGCCCTCTGGGAGGGAGAAGGGGATGCAAGGCCCTGCTGTCCCCCTTTAATTGGAGAACTTTTGAGACAAGGTTTGTTTTGTTTATTTACTTATTTATTCCCTGTGTAGCCCTGCCAGTCCTGGAACTCACTCTGCCTCCTGAGTGCTGAGATTAAAGGCGTGTGCCAACACCGCCTGGCTTTGAGACAGTTTTATCCCAGTAGCCCTAACTAGCCTGAAACTCACTCAGTAGACCAGGCTGGTCTCAAAGTCAGAGATCCACCTGCCTCTGCTGGGATTAAAGGCCAACTCTGCCTCTGCCGCTGCCACCACCTGGTTTAATGATTTTTTTTTAATTTACTGTGTGCTTGTGTGTGTGTGTGTGTGTGAGAGAGAGAGAGAGAGAGAGAGAGAGAGAGAGAGGGAGAGAGGGAGGGTCATATGTGTGTGTCATGGTGCATATGTGAAGGTCGGAGGACATCTTGGAGAGTTGATTCTCTCCCACCATATTGGTCCTGGGGATCTAACTCAGGTTAGGGTTAAGGTCCCTCTGGTGGCAAGAGGCATTCACTAGCCCCATACATAGGCAGATAGTGGGAGTCCAGTCCTATAGACTTTCCCACAGTAAGCATTAAGCACCCACTGAATGCCGTACTCAGGCATTTTAGGAACCTAGCTCACAGCTGGGTGTTGGGGAAGGACAAACAAACATATTGGGAGACCACCATCAGAGTGGGGGGGGCACTGCAGGGATAATGCTCCACAGGGAAGGGTGAGGCTAGGCTGATGGTCCCCCTCTGCTGGCCATTCCACTCCTGGAACAAGTTCACAGGATGTCACAACCTCCATGTTTTAGAGGCTGCAGAGCACATAGAGCTCCGGAGTTGTCCCCAGCTCACCCCAGCCCCGCCTGAGTCAGAGGGTCAAGTCCACAGCCAAGCCCACAGGGCCCTTCCTGAGTGGTCCCCACCCACCTGACCCTTCTCCTCCCTGCAGTCAAGTAGCCTGGAGCTGTGAGGGGACTCGCCTGCAGCTCCCCCAAGTTAACTCCAGCTCCCAGCTCTCTAGATAGATCGAGATACTTACAGTAGCCCAGCCAGGCCAGGTATTTGGCAAGTGTTCACCCGACGTTGCGGTGGGGGGTGGAGTAGGGTGGGTGCGCCCCGTGCGCCTACTATCGCCACTGATGTGCACACGTGCGCTCCCCCAATACCTTAGCGTGGGGCGGGGTCTGGCAGGCTCCTGGCTCAGCAACACCCCCCCCCCAGGCGACCCTGGCTGGCGGCTCTGCCTCCCCCAGGGCGGGAGCTGGACCACGTGAGCAAAGCCGGTTAGGACTGCCTATGTCTCCGGCTCGCCACCGCCGAGCTACGTGCAGCAGCTGAGTTCCCGGCGGGCTGGCGACCTGCTCCTGGCTAAGTGGAATGAGGTGGCGAGAGGTGGGAGTCAGCCCCACAGGGAGGCCCTGAAGGGGGAAATAAGCTAGGGGGGTGTCCCCTTTTCTCACACCCCCTCCCTCCTCTCCTCTGTCCGCAAAATGGCGACAGGATTACATGTCCCCCTTGGACGGACATAGGACATAGTTCCGTCACCCAGGATCTGTTCCCTCACCCCATAACCAAGCATCCCTCCCTCTCAGAATGAGCCCCTTGGGCACTGTGCTGGAGCTTGGGTAGGGGAGGAGGAGGAGTCCTTTCTGAGACTGTTTTGGGCCCGCTGACCTGGCATTTCGAATCATTTAGGGGACACTTTGGAAATGCTAAGGACTGCTGACAGCCTTCTAGAAACAATGATCCCTCTCTCTTCCTTTACTGCATAGGGTCGCAACTTTCTGAGGTTGCCTGGATGACATGCAGAATTGGCACATGGGCACCCCAGAAGCAGTTTCCTGGCCTCTGCACCCCCATGGTGGGGGTGTGGTTTGCAGGGGGCCGGATGAAGATAGTTTTCTTCTGGCTGCTTCCTGGGCCCAGGGTTGGCTGTGTCCCGCCTAGTGCTGGACCCGCCCACTTCCCCTCCCCTTCCTTGGGTCCTTTTCTCCTGGGATCCCTTGAGCTGCTTACAGCAAAGATGACACCAGATCACTTGGGCCCTCGGCCTAGCCTGGTATCTGTTCCCCTTTCTGGTCGCCTCCCCACTTCCTTCCCTCACTTCCATGAATCCTGTCTGGAGGGCCCCTTGACCACTTTCTGAGGGACATGAGTCCTGAGTACCTGTTACCCAGTGGATCAGCCTGGGACCACAGCAGGTGACCTGGTGCCAGTCCCCTTGTGAGTTAGCAGAGGTTAGGCCTCCGGTCACTAGTGACTTGGTTCTGCCCCCTGCCTCCAGAGTTTGAACGCTTTCACGAGGGGAATTGTACAGGGGTTTCGGGTCCGCGTTCTGTATACACAAGCCTCCCTTCCAACCCTTGTGCTTCAGAATTCCAGGCTTCTGGGTACCCAAAGCACCCAGGCCCTGTCTCCAGAACTGGAGCCTAGGGCCAGACAGGCCAGGTCCAAGGCATGGGGGCCCTGGGTGAGCCCCTGGGCCTCTTGGTCCATGGAGGCCTGGAAGGTGCTAATCACAGGGTGCAGTCTGGTGTTGGGGGTGTCTCTGGGGGACAAGAGCTATGGCCAGTGGGTGCTAGGCTGGGACGGTGGGAGGGGTCAGTGGAGGAAGCGGACTAGTGGTGTCTCGCCTCAGCCCAAAGGCACCTGCTGCTTCTGACTGACTCCTGTGAGACCATGCCCCTGGGCCTCTCTCTACACCTGGTGATTGAATTTAAGCTAAGCTTGGGATTGCAGGGTGACTTGCGTTATACCCCAGCTTCAGAACCCCAGACGGAAACTAGCCGGGTCTGATTCAAGACTGCTGGTGGTCCGTGGTATGGGGGATATGCCCAATATCCGTGTGTACAAGGACTCGGAAAATGGCTCCTTTCAGTGCCCCGCAGTTATTTGGAAGAAAGGATGCTGTTGAGGACTAGGACGCCCGAGGACCTTTTATTAGGGTGGTCAGCCATGGACACGGCCCACTCTGTAGCTCCAACATTTGGGAGGCTGAGGCAAGATTTCCTTTGTTCTTGGCTGACTGGGGTCATGTATATTATATCAAGACCCTGCCTCCACAGGCCTGTAGCTCAGGGCAGAGTGCTCCCCGAGCATGTAGAGTGCTCCCCGAGCATGTAGAAGGCCCTGGGTTCTGTTCTTGGCACCGCATAAGCCAGGTTAGTGGCTCGTGCTTGGATGGAAATCAGATACTGGGGAGGCCCTCGGCCCAGTGCTGGACACCGTGTTAACTGGGGCGACTTCTGCAGATGGGTGGAAGCCTTGGGGTTTACAGGAACCCCCTCCTTGTCCCTGCCCACCCACCATGTTGTCCTTTTGTCTAGGTGAACGGCCCTTTGCCTGTGACTGGCCTGGCTGCGACAAGAAATTTGCTCGTTCTGATGAGCTGGCCCGCCACCACCGGACGCACACAGGCGAGAAGCGGTTTCCCTGTCCCCTGTGTACCAAGCGCTTCACCCGCAGTGACCACCTAACCAAGCACGCCCGACGCCACCCCGGCTTCCGCCCGGAACTACTGCGACGACCTGGTGCCCGGAGCACCTCGCCCAGCGACTCACTGCCCTGCAGCCTGGCTGGCAGCCCTGCACCGAGCCCTGTCCCTAGCCCAGCTCCTGCCAGCTTATAGAGCCTGGCCTGTCCACCCTGAGAGTGGCCTGCTCGCTAGGCCTCGGCAGGGATTTCCATCAAGGGACATCTGTCCTCTGGAGAGCCCGTGTTCTGGAGTCCCAGCCCATATCAAGGAAGCCTCAAGGGGACTGAGAATGGACTTGGGTCACCAGGGGGCCTGGGAGGTGGTCTCGGGCTCTGTGTGTAAATAGCCATGATTAACTGTCCCATCCCCTCTGCAGGAATCCCCAAACGGGCAGTCAGCAGGTCCTCGTGTCCCCTGCTGCCATTTCTGCCTTTTCTCCTGGGTGGCACTGGGCATGAAGCCTCGCCACAATCCCACTCCTTAATCTTTAGCCCCTCGTCACTCCTCCAGGTTGGGACACAGGTACACAGAGCCATAGGTGACTGGGGCTTCCCGTGGGCCCCGACCTGTCCCCACCCCACTGAAAGCCATTGGCAGAAGTTCAGGGAAATGGAGGGGGTGCAGCCTGGCTGACCCCCCAACATGGGTACTCAAATCTCAGGTGTCCACAGGTTCTGCCCTCAGTAAGGGGCCACCCACACCCCCAGCCCTGGGAATATAGGAGGAACTGCAGTTCTCAGAGGACTTAGGGTTGGGGGCACAGGCGGGTGTGGGGGTGCCCTCATCGAGCATCAGCACCCACTTTGGGGTGTGCTGTTGGGCAGGTGGGAAACAAATTATTTATTGTCCTCTCTGACTGTTGGCGTGGGGGGCCTGGCCCCCCCCATCTGGGTGTGTGTGTGTGAGAGAGAGACAGTGGGTGTCTGGTGCCTGGGGCCCTGCCTCCCTACTCCCACTGGATTAGGGTCCCTGAGTTTGGCCTTTGCGGCATTGCGTCTCAGACAATCTTCTATAGGACTGTGTGGGCTCTGCCCTGCCCTTCGTGTCCCCCACACTCCTGGGTGTCTGCAGAGGTGGCCTTGGCCTCCAGGACTGGAAGCAGGGACTCAGCTCCTGGGCCTTCTGGGACAGCTCGGGTTTTTTTGTTGTTGTTTTTTGGTTTTTTTTTTTTGTTTTTGTTTTTGTTTTGTTTTGTTTTGCTTTTGCTGGGATAGACTATTTTTTTCAGGCTCCAGTTCCTTGTTTCAGGGGCCCCCTTGTGTGGCCACTATCCTCAGGGGTATGAGTGTTGGGGGGAGGTCTCACCTGAACATGAGGGTTGGTTGGGTGGTCTCTCCCAGAAGAATTTCTCTTAGGGTTCTTTTCCTTTTCTATGAAGGCAGTTTGGGAACCCAGAGAAAGTTGAGCTGCCCCATATCGCTGTAGGAGGTTTCTGGCATTTCCATTTATTCCAGAACCTTCCATCATCCAATGAGGGAGGCTGTAAGTACAGCCACCTTCACCTGAGCCTACCTGGAGGGACGCCTCCCTTCTGGAGCTGGGCTCGGAGGGTCCTAGGCCAGCCACCCTCCCAGGTACTTCCATCTGCCCCTTCTCTTTGGACACAGAAATGAGATGCCTTAGTTGGGGTAGGGGTTGGGACCCAATTTTGTGTCTTTTGGATGTATCTTGCTCTATCCCGGCTCCTGGTCCCATGCCCTTCCTGCAACAGGGTCTCAGGGTCCCGGGACCTTGGGAGGAAACTCGCCCTAACTTCAGGTTCTGGTGGGTCACTGGAACTTGGGTCTAACCATTGAGAGGTAGTGTCTGTGACACAGGCAAGGCAGGAGTCCTAAGGGGTTTGTTCTTTCTGGGAGGGGTGCTCCTCTTCCATTCTGCCTGGCCTCTCACCCTTGTATTTAATTAAAGAAGCCCTTTTTTAAAAACCTGCCCCGGTGTCTGTCTGATTGGTTCCCATGTCCCACCCCATCTGTATACCCTTCAAGGTTCTTAGTTACATCCTGGGGAAACTGAGGGAGCCTGATGATATACTCAGGAATGGCCTAGGACCCTCTGAGACCTTGGAAGGGGGCTGACTGCGCAGCCTGTGCACAACACAAAGTCACCCACGCCTGGTGCAGCTGCACACCCGTTACCCAGCAACCAGAGATCAGTGACAGGGCTCCTGGGGGCGTCGGCCACCGCCCCCTTCCGGAGCCAGCAGGAGGGGTGGGGGTGGGGAAAGACCCCCTAGAGCTGAACATAGTGGAATAACTCAAGCTCAAAAGGTGCCTTGGGAGCTCTCCCGCCACACCAGCCTTTTACGTCATCCCATTATGCATAAGTTGAATGCCCACTGCATACCCTCTTGGTGCAGGAGGGGTGTGAGTGGGGATTCAAGAGGCTGGGAGCTTTCAGGAGCTGATGAGAGCTTAAATCCCTGTTTGAGAGGACACCAGTTCCCAGGGGTCTGCAGAGCTCTGGGGTTGGGGTGGGGTAGGGCGGGGCTGAGGTGCCCCGTTGCACCTGCGATGCCAGAGGAGGCGCTGCACCCCACCTAGTGGCCAGAGTTAGTACTGTGGGTCGGAGTCCGCTGGGGAATTGCTCCTGGGGGGTCCGCTTAACTGGCTCCTAGGAGAGCTTGGGCAGAGCACGCCCCCAGCTCCAGGCATTCATGAACACTTTGGCTTCTCCAGCTTCCTCATGGTTCTCTGATCCTCTCTAGTGTCCTCAATACTTTAGCAGTGCATGCTCCCAACGGTTTTAAGCTTCCTCAAAGGACCAAAAGACACCATCCTTGTTTGACTCCTTGAATCTCCACCTGCAACTCTTTAGATGCCTCCAACTGTTAACTTCATCGCCCCGCCCTTGTCACGCCGGCCCCACAATGTTCACCTCATGGTCTTTGTAACACTCCGCAGTTTCGTGCCGTGCAGTTGAGTGAGGCTCCACGAAATACCTATCCAGGTTCTTTGTCTCTTTTAAACTATTTTGACGGGGCTGGGGATGGAATCCAGTCCCTTGCATATAAACTAGAGGGGCTCTACATCTTGGCCACGCCCCCAGTCCCTCACTAGGGATTCTAGGCGGGGCTCCACCCTGACCATGCCCCAGCCCCTCTTTAGGCACAGCTCCATCCCGACCACGCTCTCAGCCCCACACTGAGGGACTCTAGGTGCCGTCTTCACATCTTCTGCTTTGTTCCCCGCACCAGTGTTATTACCGTCACTAATTGTTTTGTTTTGCAAGATACGTTTCTTTTTTAAATATTTATTTACTTATTATGTATACAATATTTTGTCTGTGTGCAGGCCAGAAGAGGGCACCAGACATCATTACAGATGGTTCTGAGCCACCATGTGGTTGCTGGGAATTGAACTCAGGACCTTTGGAAGAACAGGCAATGCTCTTAACCGCTGAGCCATCTCTCCAGTCTGCAAGATAGGGTTTTTCTGCATAGCTTTGGCGGTCCTGGAACTAACTGTAGGCCAGGCTGGCCACGAACTCAGAGATTCACCCACCTTTGTCTCCCGAGTGCTGGGAATAAGGTGTGCGCCACCACTGCCTAGCCAAGAACATTCTTTATACCAAAATAAGCCCTTGCCCCACGAACCATCGCCTCCGCTCCCCAGCAGCACGAATGCTGGTCTCATCTGCACCCCCAGCTCTGGCCTTCCCTGTGCGGTCCACACTATGCTTTACTCTTCTGCATGGTTCCCTTGCTGAGCACCATGTTTTCCAGAGCCCATATTTACATCATGCTTCCTAAGAGTAGTGAAATTAGCCAGACATGGTGGCCCATGCCTTTAATCCCAGCACTCAGGAGGCAGAGACAACAACAAACAAGCAAAACAGTAGCATAATTACAGTTAGGGAGTAACAGCAAAAATAATTTTACGGTTGGGGGTCACCACAACTTGAACTATATTAAAGGGTGGTAACATGGAGTTGGAGAGATGGTTCAGTGGTTAAGAGTACTGGCTGCCTCTCCAGAGGTCCTGAGTTCAATTCCTGGCAACCACATGGTGGCTCACAACCACCTGTAATGGGATCTGGTGCCCTCTTCTGGCCTGCACGCGCGCATGCAGACAGAGCACTCACACCTAAAAAGATACACACATAAATAAAAAAGTTTAAAAACTAGAATACAAGTAAAGGGTGATAGCATTAGGCAGGCTGTGGGCCCTGCTCTACACCGCATGTCACAGGTTCAGGACCCAGCCAGACTCCAATGTGGATGACTGTGTTGTGCTCATCACCTACCCATGCATGGATTGTGAGTGCTAGTCAGAGTTTGAATCCTACGATTAATGCTGATAAGAACACTAATACTTGGTTCTAATATAATACTTAAGTTCTTGGATAGAAGTGTGTTTTTATTTCTCTTTGGTAAGCAACTAGGGAACTACTGGCAAGGCTTTATGGCATCTTCTCCATCTCCCTGGCGCAGCTTATTTCACAGATACCCTTTCTAAGACTCCCCCAGAGGGGCACAGGGTGTGGTCAGGGTGGAGCCTAGAATCCCCCAGAGGGGCAGGGTGCATGGTTGAGTGGTGAGTGCCCACTTAGCTTACATAATAAGTCCCTGCATTCCAATTTCTTCCCTGGGGGGGGGGGGGAAAGAAAGAAAGAAAAGAAAAACTGGTTCTGGAGGCACTGTATTGTTCTCTCTGCCTGTGGCTCTTTTCACAATCATAAATGTGGCTAAAGTGGGCTAGGAATGTGCAGACCACACATTTAATCCCAGCATCCAGGAGGGAGAGGCAGGGCGATCTGTGAGTTCAAGGCCAGCCTGGTCTACAGAGTGAGTTCCAGGACAGGCTCCATAGCTACTCGGAAACCCTGTCTCAAAAAACAAAAACAAAAACAAAACGTTATGCATAATTGCACACAGGTCTGTCATCTTGCTTCTCAGGAGGCCAGGCAGAATGGCTGTCAGTTCAAGGCCAGATAAAAGGAGAATATTGTTCTGTCCCTAGTGACAGCCACGCCAGATGTTGAAAGACTTTTGTAGTCGCTGATTCAGTGAACAGATGGACGCTGAGTAGCCTGGGACACACGGACTCGAACGCTGGCTCGGTGAGCGTTGGAGAGGAGTCAGGTACTGTTGAGTTAACTATGCTCTCATATGGCAAGGTGTCTGGGAAGGTGCCGAGAAGTAATATCCCCCGGGACACAGATTGTCAGACAGAGAAATGCAACTGAGAGCTTTACTTGTCGGGGACATTCCAGGCTCTCCAGTGTTCTCCTGCCTTGGCTGAGATGCAATCTCCCAGTATCCCTGACTTTCTTTGCATGAGTACTTTGTGAGAAAGTCTATTCCTGGAACACCTCTCTTGCGGACCCCAGCACCCCATCGCCAACCTTACTGTGGCTCTATACAGGGACCCTGCCATGAGGGTCACTACAGCTCCTGTCCTAGGGCACATGGCACACGGAGCTAGGCTTTGGGTCTGGGGTCACACCGGGTTCTCTGTGCCCACAGAGTAGGCTTTGGGTCTGGGGTCACACCGGGTTCTCTGTGCCCACAGAGACAGGCTTTGGGTCTGGGGTCACACCGGGTTCTCTGTGCCCACG